CCCCCCCTGCCACTGCAACACACTGCTTGGGCTGCGCCTCTCCAGATGCTCCTGCTCTGGGGAAGAGGCCAGAAAAGGGGAGGGAATTGCCGCCATCCATATATCCCTTTACACACACACACACACACGCATACGTGCACACGCACACAAGAAAAGAGAAAATGTTTCTCCTAATTTGAAAACTGGGCTCCCTGGGAGATGCTCGAGATGTGCTGTGCAACTTAACACTGATTGCTGTTGATTTCAGGGGGCTTTGTGGGGGTCTTTTCAAGGCTCTTAAAATCCTGTTTGACTTGTAAATAGTCTTTGCTGTAAGCCTGGTGCCATCAAGCTAAATATTTGCAGCACCAAGGGCCTGTATTTTTCCCCGTTTGTTTTATAGCTGAGTCTTTTGAATGACCTCCCCTCCCTCTTCCACTCCCCAGCTTTGAAATATTTTACATGGGAGGGAAATATTCTTGCACAGAAAGATTATTTTAAGTGCAGTCTCTTTATAGTAAAATGCTGCTACCACAGAAAGGTTTGTTGTTAAAGGATTATTTTCTTTCAGGTTAATCCAAAAAAAAAAAAAAAAAAACCCCAAAAAAAACCCCCCAAAAAAAACCCCACCAAAGCTTTGAAATATTTTACATGGGAGGGAAATATTCTTGCACAGAAAGATTATTTTAAGTGCAGTCTCTTTATAGTAAAATGCTGCTACCACAGAAAGGTTTGTTGTTAAAGGATTATTTTCTTTCAGGTTAATCCCCAAAAAAAAAAAAAACCCCCAAAAAAACTGCCCAAAAAAAACCCCACCAAGCAAAGAATGGGAAAGGCATCCAGCAGACTGTGCTGCCACAGCAGCTATGGGAGGAACCAGTCAACCAGTCTCCTTTCCTCTTCCCAAAATCACATCCCCAGAAACAATCACTCTCGACACACCCCACAAGAAGTAAATAGCACCTTAAATTTCTCCTCAGGGGCTTTAAGGAGTTTCCTATGCAACTTAACATAGCACAGAGAGGAGGGTCCGGCAGCAGCCAAGCCCACTGTGCGTCCCCTTTCCCTAAGGCACCATAAGAGCACACTTTTCCATGCACAAGCAAAAATCTCCATTGCAATAAGGAATACCGCCTGCCAGAGCGCGTGTGCAGACAGAGGGACAGCTTTCTCCCAGGATTTTACCCAAATCTTGGCTTTCACTGTTCTTTGAAGTGGCACGTGCTGTAGGAGGGGTCGGTCCTGTGCAGGGTCTGGGGCTCTGCAGAACAGCTGCACCGGGGATCCCCGAGGGTGCCAGCAGCAGGCGAGGGCAGAAATCTGAGCCTCCTGTGTTTCAGGGATGTCCCTGAATAATTTCAGCTTTTTTTTTTTTTTTTTTTTTTCAACCCCCCTCCTTGGTTTTTCTAACTACCTCAGGTACTCCATATACCCAGCTTCTTAATGTTTCAGCAGCAGCCTAAAATGGGCCGTGCCCAGCTCATTGATGGCATGTGCCCTCCCTGAGACCCATGGGAGCACGGATGGCACATTTCAGGGCCCATGGGGTAACCACTGTGTTAATTTGTCCCTGTCCTCAGTCCAAAATCCAGTCCCTCCTCACGTGCCAGGACTGGGTGTATGACCTTTGGATGCCTTCTGCCCACTAAACATCAGGCCCTTCTCCAAAAGCTCCATCTGGGCTTTGCATTACCACCCTTTGTGCAGTAACTGGTTGTTGTACTTACTGTTTAATGTTCCTTTTTTTTTTCATCCTTTTTTTAAAGAAAAGTTTTGGAAGAAAATATTCTGATTAAAGCTGTTACTATTCAAGTGCTTCTGAGTAGACCTCATCTACTGTTGTCTCTTCATCTCAAAGCAGCTTGGATGCATGGGATTAATTTAGTGGGTTTTCCACCATGTGAATGACATGTTTCTCGCAGCACATTTCCATACCTAGAGCCAGCAGTCCTCTGGGGCTGCGCTCAATCCAATCCTCCTTCTCTGTTCCTTTCCATCCTGCCCTCTCTGGGGGAAAGCCGCTGGAAACGATCTGGCCTCCCGAGGTGCTGCTTATGCTCAAGCACTAGGTAAGAAACTCTGTCAAGTGGGAAGAGATCTGGTCGTGCGATTTGTTGTGGCATGGAGATGTTTTTCTGGCTGTTTTCTGAATGGAGAAAAAAATCCCTGTATTTAGCCAAGGCAGTTGTGGGGCTTCCAATGTGAACAGTTCAGATTTCAAGCCGCAAAAGTGAAATACTCAGGTGTTTGGCTGTGGCTTCAGTTTGCCAAGGGTGAAGAGGAGACGCAATGGTTTGATTTCACCTTTGGTAAACTCATCTTGTGGTCTGGCACAGGGAGGCACCTCTGGGCTGCTGAGCCAGGACCACTGCATCCCATGGGTGGTGAGGAGGATCTGTTGCACACAAGGACATGGTTGGACCTTGCTTCGCACCCGTTGCTCCATCCGTGCCTGGGTGGGTGTTACTGTGTCCTCTCCTGAATGCCTCAGGCCCTCCTTCCAAGGAGGATGAGCTTTCAGGAGGGTGCACACTGGTGGCTGATGAGTGCATGGAGCTGGGTACCAGACCCTGCTGATACCAGGCCATCTAGCTCATGGAAAGAGGCTGGAAATTTCATTCTCAGCATAATGTGACTTGATTTCCAAAGCAAAACCAAGGTCTAGCCTGGCAGAAGATTAAGCCGGCATGTTCCTCAAGCCCAGGCTTGCTCAGCCCTTGCTGTGTCATCCCTGCTCGGTTTGGTGCCCAGATTCGTGGCTATCACAGGAGTTGTGTTTTGGTTCAGACAACATCCAGGCTCCTGGGGCTTCAGTCAATTCATGACCCCAGCTGAGGCTCCCTGGAGAGAGCAGAGCTACAATGTGAGCGCTGCTGCAGCCTGAAGGTTCAGCCACAGCTACTGGAGAGCAGCTGTGTCGTGGGGGGCATTTGGGCTTCAAAATGGTGCATTTTGTAATCGGGGGGTGATGCAGTTGAGCCACTGTTTTACTTGCTGCTGCTTCTCAGATCTCTGATGTTTCCTACATATGCTTTCCCAGAACAGCTCATAGCTCACTGCACAGATACGCGTGTTTTGAGATGTGTGTAAACTGAGAATAAAAATGGGAATAACGATCCTGGATTAGAGTGCAGATATGGATCTGCTGGTCCAATAACGATGCATTGGCTTGCTTCCTTGAAACCTGCAGATTTCTGTGTATCCCGCTGCCTGCCTGCCTTTCCCCTCATTCCCAGTTGCTAGCAAGTCTCTGCTGGTTAAGCAGGTCTCTTAACTCGCTGCCCATCCTTACTTCTTTCCTTTCCTCTGTGAAATTGGTCAGTGCCAGTAACCCATGGCTGGGGCAGAGGTTGATGTTGGGAGCTTCACAGCGTACCACGGCATGAAAATCCATCCTCCAGCAGAGGTACGCCTGGTGAGAAAGCAAAAAGGGAACACGTGTGCGATGATGTCCCACTGATGGTCTGCTGTGACGTTTTCTGAATTATTTGCATAAAGGGTTGGTTCCTGCTGGGGTTATCGGTCCCCTTCTGACTGCCCTGGCATTGCAGGTTGACCACCAGGATGGGTATGGATGATGCCCCACCACGGATGCCTCATCATGTGCTGCCTCACTCCTACGTGGTCTGGGCATGAAGGGCAGTAGCCATCTGATTTGGGCAGTTCCCTGTTAGCTGCTTCACTGCTGACTGACTCCCTCTAATATTTCAACCTCAAGGAGATGATTTGGCTTTTTTCCTTGGGCCGATCAATGAAATGACCTGCTTCAGCATGGGTCACCTTGGAAATGCATTCACATCATTTTCTCCTCTACTTCAGCCATCAAAATCGAATGATCATCTTGTGTCAGCTCAGCTCGACACTAAATGACTGAAGAAGATATGTCAGAAGGAGAGGAGAAAGAAAAGTCACCTCTGGGTTATCGGTGTCTGTACAGAAAAGTTGCTGTGTCTATGATTTTTGCTTTGTCCTCGCTGGCTCTCAGAATCCAGATGCCCAGTGCAGTTTGCAATTATTGTGCTTTAACCCAGCAGGCAGCTAAACACAGCCGCTTCATCACTCCGCCCTCCCCAGAGGGGTGAGGGAGAGAATTGGGGTGGGGGGGAAGTGAAATTTGTGGCTTGAGCTAAAGACAGTTTAATAGGACAGAAAA